CCATCAGTCCATTACACTTTACTTGTGGTAAAAGGTCACATGTAAAAATAGCCTTTCGAAATAGTAGAAAGCAATTATTGATCACAATGTTTTATCACAGTTATTGTATAAATATTCAAGTATTTGATACACATTTAAAATTAAATTTTCTATGTATTAAATTTATTTTTTAATTTATTGCTATTGCAATAATTTGTTAATAAAAGTAGTTAATTAAAAAAACAAATGTCAATGGAGATTTATTTGTAACAATCGCAGGGTCCGTAAGTATGAAATTATTTAATTTCATTGATTAATTTCATTTTGTTTTAATGTCCAGTTTTTAGTTCTTTCTTCCGGGTCTTCGTAGCCACAAACACTATTGACGTCGTCGCCTTGGTGATTAATTCATCGATCGCATTCTTCGACATATTGTTGTAATTATAATCCAAATAACGCAAGATTTTATTAATTTTTTTGTTATCAATCAATTAATTAATTGATCAAATTTTGTGTTGTTATTTCTTTTCACGTCAGGTCTCATTGGGCGAGTTAAGTGTAGTGTTATTTGTAGTAGATTAGATTTGAATCCACGTCTGTGACCATTGCATCGATTCAGTCTATTCAGTTTAATCGGACAATTTGGTCCATTTAGATGTTTTGGCCCATTCGGACTATTTAGTCCATTCGGGCAATTTAGACTATTTAGTCAGAGATGAGCCATTTATTGATGTGTTTATTGTCAGATATTACTAAATTGCTATGCTTTGTTTTAACATCAGATAAATTTCGCGTTGTAACCATCCATTATTTCAAATGTTAGTTAATTTTTTAAAATAATTTTAGCTAAATTTGTTATTTCTATTATGTGTCATTTACTTTGATAACAGTGGAAATAGGAGGGGAGGAATAAAGGAGTAACCATGGTCAACCATCTACAATATTTCAATTTTAATATAAGAAAGATCTTTTGTCATGACCGAAAACATTCGCAACCCCATTGGCCACAAAGGGTTTGCCCAACTGACTCGTAGCGCGTTTTCTTATTTAATATCTCAATATTGAAGATTTTAAAAATACTTATTTCTTACTAGACAAAAACAATCACAAATTTCATGTGATGTTTACAAAGAACATCCACATGTACATGTTTACATGTTACGAATAGCTATAACAGCGTACCCCTGAAGAACTACATGTGGTACGTATATAAGATGCGAACCACGAGTAGATACATGTCATACTGTCTGGGACAAGAACACGTGGCAACTCGTTACTCGTGATGACAACTAGAGAACATAAAACATATAGATTTACTCGTGATGATTTTCATAAACAATAAATATAGATAACAATACGTAACAATTAGTTGGTAATTTTAATATTATTACTCAAATGATAGAAATAATAACTGTCTGAATGCACAAATTTCATGTATTATGATAGTAGATTTCAGTAAACAGTTTAATAGTAGTTTTGATTTTGTGTTTAATATTAAAATCTTATAAATGGTTATTTAATTATAAATAAGTTATAAATAATTATTTTGTCGGAAATTAAGCCATTATTTTGCGGTTTTCCTAATATTCAAAAGCATTGAAAGTGTATTTGTATTATTGATAGTATGGATATAACCGTTTGTATGAATGAAAATATACTGTTAATTTCAACTTGAATATAAATTTTAAGTCAAAAATAAATATAATAATTTAAAAACTTCTATATAAAGGACCACACAATAGGATCAAATAGTTACATAATAAACATAAAACAATCAAAAACTGTTCATTTCATTTGGTAGTAAGAAATGTAAAAAAAAAAATATTTTAATCGCAAAATTGTATTATTATTTTGTTTTAAATCAAAAATGTTATTATTTATGTCATAAGCAACTAATTTTAACTTAATTGCATTCAAACAACACTACTATTAATACAGGAATTCAGGTATTACTGGTGTCTATGCATGTGTTTAGTCGATGGGCACCTGTATGTAGTCCAGGGCCAGTCTATCAACAACTCAATCACTATAAATGTCTTATATTTGTCAATATTCAGAAATAAATACATTTACGTTACAATTCCCTACTTTTTGTCTTTTTCTAACTGTCCCTTAATTATAACTAAATTTTAATTATTCTGCAGTGATTTTTATATAACATTTCAATTAATTTGTCAAACGCCTAAATAAGCGTTTGAAAGCGAAAATAGTTATACAAATAATAAATCACTTTCTCAAATAAAGGTTAAGTAAATACATATTTTCACAAACAAGTATATTTTTGTGTTTAGTTTTGTAGTTCATTTGTATAGAGATATTTGTCATAAATTGCATGTAATTGTAATTTAATTCAAAAACATTGTGTGAATTTTAAGTTGAATTATAAACAATTGCAATAAATCTCTCTTTCAAATAAATGGGGTAAAATTCTTTTGTATTCATAAAAAAGTAATTATAATTTTATATTAATTTTTACGGTTAAAATCAAAGCAAAATTTATTTATAACAACTATGCTCAAGGGATTAATTAAAAGTAACTTTCATTACACATTTAGGCACAAAACAAATACACACAAAATAGAAACAAATGTAAAAATCATAAACAAATGAATTTCAAACAATCAAAACAAACTTATAGCTATAAATGTCTAATAATTAAATTTTCAATCATAATTAAGGTACAGATTAAATAGAGATAAACGAAAACTGTTTTACGTTAGATTTCGCCAGACTTTTCAAATTTTAATTAAATATATTATTTATAAAATGATTTTTTTTAAATCCATAAAAGTAATGTTGAAATGAAATCAACTCAAGAAATACAGGTAATAAAACTAATAAAACAACGAAACTAATGATCATGTTGCATACAATATATGGATATCTTATTTTGATAGACATACAAACAATTAAAATTAAGGTTCTATTACAACTTATAATATAATAATACAACGTTCAATGTGTAAAAGCCATAGAGATATATAGTTTCTCTAATTAATTGCTAAAATTTGTACTAAATTGGGTTATGATTGAGGTTTAAGCAAAAACAACAACACAAATGCAAAAATCATTTCAAATCAAAAAGCAATTGAAAATTATATTCAAATGAATAGAAACACGTTATAAAATATATAAATATTTAAATAGTTTAACATATTATTTGTAAAGACAATTTTGCATTTAATTCAATATAATATTGCTATTAAAATTCAATATATGGAAATAAGATTAACATATGAAATACAATAATAATTAAAACAATACACTATTTATACGAACTATTGTCTACTACTGTATGGTATAATAAGTATAACAAATAACTCAATAATTTTTTATATTAATAGTTTACAGTAAAATATATGGCACGTTATTTTGTAACAACATGTGCATAACTTGCCCTAAACCCTAACACATAAATGTTTTATTAATTTTGTAAAAATTTATCATTATATTTCAAATTTTAATACAATTTCTCTATTCGCAAAATTATTATTTTTTGGGATACGTGTTATTTGATTAGCCGTGCATTCAATGGAAGTATTAATGCCGGAGATATAGTGTATTAAGCGTTATATAAATGTAATGCTAAATAAAATAATTATTTGATTTAATGATCAGAAAAGAAATAAAAGTTTTACTCCGAGGGGAAAGTTATACTTTGCTTAGGTATGTATTTTATAATAAATACAGTTATAGTGATATATTTTGTATGCATTCAATGCTATTTTTTTGCGATAATTCATTAAAACAAATAATTGTTTCCAATTAAATGCATTTCAAAGAATTGATTTTGCAAAGAATTTTGGCTATGGTTATTTAGTGCACACATTCCTATCTGCCCTCACAAACAGTCGGACCGATCTCTACGGCGGTTCACTCGACAATCGCATGCGTTCTGCTTTGTCTATAGCCTGTGCTGTCCGACAGGCGATCGGCGACCACATAGTACTGGCCGTTCGGGTGTCGGTCACCGACCACTGCACCGACGGTTGGAATGTGAAGCAGACCGTAGTGTTGGCCAAACAGCTCAAGGCTTTATGCGTCGATCTCATAAACTGCAGTTCAGAAGGTCTGGTATTGTGCGCCGGCATCTCATTCATGAATCCAACGGCCATTCAGATAGAGAGCGCCGGTATTATACAGCGAGAGGCAGGTGTGGCCACAGGTGCTCACGGCTTGGTCAAACCAGGCCGAACAGGTTTTGACTCGCACCGGCGCGTCGTTAATTATAATGGGTCGGGCGTTCATTAATAACCCCAACTGGCCGTCTTTGGCGGCCGATAGGCTGGGAGTGGGAAAAGAGAGAGAGAGTCTAATATGTAATTTGATTTTAGTCTTTAAACTCGATTTTTCAGAAGTAATAATTTATTTTGCCTGTATTTTGTTTGTCAGTAATTTTATTTTGTAAACAATAATTGCCAGTATTTATACAAATATTTTATTACACGGTCTATTTAAATGGTAACTATAGATTTAAAGTTACCCTCGGTGTTTAAATTTATTTATGGCATAGTTAAGCTAATAATTTTAAATAACTATTGGATTATTCATAACTAATTCTCCATTTAATTAATAATAACTGTTAATAAATTAACTACAGGTTTAGGTATTTATTGTGATATTATTACTCTACAAGCTATTTAAAACAAGATATTTAAAAATATAAATTTTTACACAACTTCTATCCCTTATTAGCAAAATATCGAGAAAAGTATTTATAAATACAGAGCTTTATTAAATAAGTTTACGGATAGGTGTAGCACTTGACATAAGACTTACCGAAAATAAGTACTAATAAAAACCAAATAACTAATTAAGGAGTCATTGAATGGTTTGTTTTGTTTTACGTATTAATATAATTGTCTATTCATTGACTAAAATTTTACACAAAAATACACTAAAAAATCGTATATTAAATTAAACACAATATTTATGTCAAAATTATTTACAAAATTGTTTTTCGTTAAATTAAATTACTATAATTCTAACGAAATGCTTATTACAATTGTATTTAAGATTTAAAGAGTAGTATTTATTGTGAGGGAAAGGCCAAGAAGTGTGCAAACATGTCATAGCTGTAAGTGATTTGGATTTTGTTATTTATTTTACACATTGTGTAAGTTCTTGTGAGAGAGGGACTACTAATTAGGGCCATAGATACAGCTCTTAGAAATAATTAAATATTAATTTTTTTTGTTTATAATATTTGCTATAAAAATGAATGTTTTATTAGATTTGCTATACACATTAATATTTTATTATTTTATATATTGTTTACAAATACATGTTATATGTACTATTAATTTAGGATTAATAAAATAATAATATTTAAATTACAAATAACAGGAAAATAACACAAAAGTAATTGTTTTCCACCAATTAATAGTTAATTATTTTTATAATTGTTCACTCAAGTAATGATTTGCAGAAATGGATTGTATGGTTAACCATTAGAAATTATTGCAATCCATAACAGATATATAATTAGGCTTTTAATAACAATATTATTGGAAATGTTTTGTAAAAATAAAAATTAATTAATTTTTATTAAAGAATTTATCTAAGTATATGAATTGCACTAGTAATGAGAATAAATATAATTGTCATTCAAAGTTATCTTAAAATTGAGATTACAGATTTTAAAAGTTTATATTGAGTTTACTTGTTCTTTAGTGCAAAAGTATTGCAAAACAAATGCATAAATAATTTCGTAAATTAAATATTGGGATAGCAAATACACATTTTAATTTTGTAAATTTAATACTGTAGTTATAAACACAACAAAACTGACAATTTTATTTTAATAATAAAAATACTAAATTATAGATTTAAATTGAGAACAAAAATTTTATAAATCAAATATTTGTTTGAATAAACAGAATGTGCACAATAAACAGACAAATGTTGAATTTAAGGCATAACGAGAAAAAAGGTAACGAAATATCATCTCCTGATTGACCATAAAAGTGGATTTAGTTTCGAAATAAATGCAAATTAATGTGAGATAAATGTGGCATCAGTTGAGTGGGAAGAGGGATTCAATAATAGGATAAGGGTATGTAGCATGAAAACCACAATTACATGTATAGTAGATATGACCTCAAATTGTAATTTACTATTTACTAAGCAAAACGTAAAGTGTATTAACAGTAATGTAATTAGAATTACAGTGTATCATATAACCGTTTACTACAAAATACGGTATCATTTCATTGATTGAAATCTACTAAAAGTACATGGGCTGAAAGGGTTTGCTCCCAATCATGGCTACAATTCGTGTGCATAAAAAGTCCGAAAATTAATAAACGAAAGAAAAGTTAATTAAATGAAAGTTTTAGAGGAAATGGAGTAAATCATAGGGTAATCATAGGATGCGATGTCTTTCGATGAATGCAAAAACAACTGCTTAATGAATACAATGCTTTAAAAACAGATCAAATGAAAACGAGTTAATATTGTTTGCCATTAAGTGTAACATTTATTTCGCTAAACGATTGACCCAAACATCGAAAGAAATAGCATTTGCATAGCGGAGGGAAACGAACAGACAATGCATACAATCGCCACTTTTCTCATTGCTTTTTTGCTACAAATTGAGTCAATACAAAGTTGGTCCACATTTCACTCGTAATGTATAACAAAATCAAACAATACAATCAACATTTTACGAAACACTATTATATAATGTTTACATCATTCACTAACCATACTATAAGTTTGCATGAAATTATAATTAACGCAAACAGTTCATTACTTTGAATAAAAACTCCCTAATAATCACTACACAAAAAAATACACTGAAAAATACCGTATATTTAATTAAACACGATATTTATGTCAAAATGATTCACAAAACAATTTTTAATTGCTTATTATTTTATTAATCAGAGAAAAACCTAATAAACCATTTTCTATTTAATACTATTATTTTTCGCTTTTATCATTAATGACATTTAATTTAATTAATTTTAGAAACAATTAAATTATTCGCAAAACAATTCATTTATAATGACAATAAAATAATGAAAAAGGCAATATAAAAATTCCTTATTAAATGACAAACAAATAATTTTTGTTTTTATTAAGGATTTATCACATCATATACTGTATTGATATATAATTTTAGATTTAATGTGATTTATCCCATACATTAGTTATTTTGCTATTTTAGTATTAACACAAATATTTTATTTATTGTTTTCAAAACTATTTTATTGTCATTTCTACTGATAATTTCATTGTATGAATAACTAAATAATTTAATTTGTACAACAAAAGTTGTTTTTTGGTCAATAAATGATAATTATTTACAAGTAGTCAATTGAATAATAACAGAATCATTATTGCATTTTGTTAGTTATATCAAACTAAATGTTAAATTATATTTTTATAATAATTTTTTTGTGTAATTGTTTTGTGTATAGTGTGATCAACTCAGTTTTGTCCAATAGGTTACAAAGTTATTAAATTGAGGCTAAAATAGTGTACACAAAAAGTTTTAATTGTAATTTTCTTTAGAATTTAAATAATCTCAAATTTATATTTAGCATACAATAGTCTACAGTCTGAAAATGACACAGAATTCCTAAATAATGTAATGCACTGTCTAATAATGTACAGTTGGTCACACTAATTAAAAATATTACAGTAAATGTAATTTCAATAAAAATATAGTCAAAAAGTTTTCTTCAACAAAATAGATCTTCATTTTAATGCAAAACAAATGCATAAACATTATTACAACAATTTCGTTATATTATAATCTGTTTGTGAAAACTTTACAAAACTTGGTAAAAATGAGCACAAAATGGCATAAAGCCAGAAAATTGAGGGGCAGAGCGAAAGATAGCGGGGTTTGAATGTATCGTAGATTAAATATTGAAGAAATTGATATAACAAACTAATGGTTAAATTTTTAAAATACTTTACTCGTGGTAATCATACATAGTTATGTGTAGTTTGCGATCGCTTTTCCCCATATAATGACATATAATATACAAACTAAATGCAATAATAATCACACAAATCCATTACAACGACAACACAACAGAGATATAAGCATTTGAATTGAATAAATCATACAAACAAATAACAATTTAAAATAATGAGAGAAAATAAAATTATATTTATTAATGTATTCAAAACCTAATTGTTTCTGATATGTAATGTTAATCTTTTAAATGTATTCTGTTATATTTATAAACATTATTACATTATTTTAAATGTCAGTTTTAGTCAGCATTTATTCAAAGCCAATATAAATAACGCATATCATTAGAGATCTCAATAAACGCAACGAAAATCGTGTAAATGTTTGTCACTATTTTGCAACACTTAATTCGTTTCAATATTTAATAATAAATTTAAATAACTTTTTCCAACAATATAATTCTTATTGTATTTATATTGTATTTCAAAAGAATCGTAAACTTATTTATCGGTATTTTTAATCATATTTTTAATGAATTGCTAGAAAAGGATTATAAAAAGTGCTTTTGAATGAATTAAGTTTTTATGTTAGTCATAAAGAGAGAGTTTTATCAGAGATTAATTACTCAAAGTATTTTGTACTAAATAAAAGACGTTTTTTTAAACGTGCATTTAGAGAGTGCTCATTAAATATGCGCTTAACTTTTACTGATTTTTTTATTTTTCCTAATGTTACTCCTATAGAAAAAGTAGTAAAAGTTATCATTTAAAATACAAATGTTTTTAAACTCAAATATTACTAATAAAAATGCTAACATTTTTTTGGACATATAATAACATAGTAAAGATTATACTAAATGATTACAAGCATTACAGCTAATGATACACAAAATACTATACTATTTGTCATTTCAATCATTGATTCCCTTGTCTTTTATATACGACATGAGAAATAAATGCATTCAATTTTTATTCAAATAATGTACAGAAATAAAAGTAATTCAAATCCTAATAAATAAATTGCGGTTAAAAATTGCAAACAGTGTTCAAGTGATACACACGTTAGGCCAATGCATACAATCCTATCTCTCCATAAGACGGCTATAAATGGCATTCAGTGACCACCCGTGCCAAATGAAGTGACCCCTCATTACCAACTGATCCGCCAATCTATGGCAATAGTGATGGCTATAAGGGGGCGGCAAATGGCCCCCTGTTCTCAGTGTTGGTAAACAAATTGTTTGCATAACAAATGGGTATTCATTACTATAGCGGGTGAGTACGTGAGTGGACACACATCGGGACAGTGAGACACAGTTAAG